TCAAGAGTCATACTTTGCTGATCTCGTCATTCTCGCGGATGGCTCCTCATCCAAATTCAGAACCGCCGTCCTCGGGAACATGTCCTATGAGCCTTCGCAAGGGGGTTACTTGGCAGGTCTGATCGTGAAAGACCGGTGCCAAAGTACGCCAATATGATTGCACTGAAAGGCGCTGGACCAGTCATCCTTTTTGAGCTCCCCAACAATGAGTATCGGATGCTGGTCGAAATGAAGGAGTCGCCGCCAGACTCCAAGGTTTGTAATTCCATCTTGATCGTGATCGCCCCCTCTCACTATCAATATCGCGCGACGTTATCCCTCAGCTTCCATTATAGATATGCCCATCCATTCTCAATGCTCTGGAAACGTCGCGTCTGTGAAAAGTCCCGCATGATCTTCTGGCCAACATCGAGAGTTTTGCCAATTGGGATGAAATCTCGCCCGTCCTCCAGAGTGGCACCACCTGAGAAAATCGCTCGTAGGCAGTATCAATACCATGAGCATGAGTTAGGCTGGTCTATTTGCTGCCGACGGTATGTCAATATCAATATCACCCGGCGATATGTGGAAAAAGAGAGCGAGCCAAACGACTTTGTCTCCGAAACTGAGATGACCTCACCCCTATGACGCTCCAAAGCGAACTTTAATAATTGCGCGATACATTACAGAGTGCGCGATACACAACGTAGAGTGCGCGATACGCTTTGTGTTGAAGATTCTTCGCTACTTCTAGTAAAATAGATGGCCGAAATCTTCGAAGCTGGGTTCTACAATCAGGTACTTGTCAGCTGTACAAGCAATGAGCTTTCGCTCATGATCAAAAGTACTTTGAACTTTCGCAACGAATAACACAACCACCTGGCATTGGAGTCTACTCCTCCTCAGATCTCTTGTGCTTCGTGCAAGTTTCTGCATGCACTATAGCAGTGGTGGCCAGGTCCAGTTCTGAACTGCAGATTGAACTGGACAGTGACCGACAGTCTGATTCAAAGTGCTGAATCAGGGGGAACTGGAACTGAACTGTTCATGATGTTGGTCTGACATTTGCAGCCTCCATAGTTCAAAGATTTGCAAGATTCTTGAATCTCAGGCTGTTCCGAACCTCTTCGAACTGATTGCTGTGCACATGCCGCAGGTACAACTGGAAGAATGTCTGTCATCAGAAAGGACCTCTAGCTGGTCCAACTTAGAGCCAAGTAAGTTTACTCTGCAGGACTTGCCGGTACTGACCCCTGATTTCCCGAAGCGCTGTTCAAGGCGTCCTTTGCGTGGTATCCACGATCCTGATATTGATAGCCCATTCGTCCCTCATTGTATTAACTCCTGGTCTCAGGATTATTTTATTAGCAACACGAATATTGCTGTCTGATCTCTCGTGCTCTACTTAGTATCTTTTTTTAGTAATCATTATGGAACTTCCATGGTTCATACCTCCTGCTGTAATACAAGTTGATACTATTGAAAAGTTTTGGAGCATGACACTTGTGGGCTATGTTTTACACTTTGATACATAACATATGTTGTGTTGTGCACTTGATGTTGTGTATCGCGCACTCAACATTGTGTATCGCACACTCTGTATTGTATCGCGCAATTATTAAAGTTCACTTTGGAGCACCATACACCCCATGATGTGCCTGATTTGTCGACAGCAAGTCGATGCACTGTCTACCTCGAGGACTTGGAAACTCTTTCTGTTTCACCCAGAACATAAAAGAGGTGCTGAAAACGGACGAAGAAACTGCCAATGGGCCTGTCAACAAAAAGGCAAATGATGACCTAGCTGATATCAAAGCTGTGTCTCTATACAAATATGATAGCTTCAGTCAAGCCTGCAAATGTCAACAAAGCACCGTGCAATGCCATGGCCAAAGTCCATTTCACACTGCACCATAATACACTGTACCTGCCCAAAAACATGATGCCACTGCAAGACTTGTTCTGTGCCAATATTGAACTAATTCTGATACTGTGACTACGAACACCAGCAACAGACATCTTAGATAGAGACTTTGTAGAGGTACCAGGTCATGCAGCTTGCTGAGCTGAGCTGAGCTTGAGCGGTTGCACCGCTTTCCTCCTTCCTTTCTCCATGCTGTTGAGTTCGTCATACTTCACTGACCTCCTCACTCTCACCCTCGACTTTCTTGGGACCTACCTACCCCTGCATTTTATTTTATACTGTCGATCTAAATCATTGTTCTTTCCTTTACTAATTTATTCTGTGTTCAGTGCCTAAACATTTGAAAGCTACTATCTAATAAATCATTGATGTGATCAAATTTGTGAACAGGCATCCTGCCCTCTTGAGCAGCTCTACTTGCCCAGATCATTTCAGCAACGCTCAAGCCCTGCTGGACACTCCAATTTCCCTGTCCGTAAATGTGATTGTTCTGTTGGGCTGTGTGGGAAAGAATATGGGAGAAATGAACAAAACTCTCAAGTGCCCCTATTTGATGCAACTGCAACACAATCCTCTTGTAAATTCCTTATACTATCTTGGTCTGGACTAAAACCTCCAAGACACCCTATATCTTTGTGACAAGGATTATCCGTCAGAAGGAGAGCTGTTGACATGTGATAAAGACAATTTGGAGCTGATTATCAGGGAGTTGCTATACTACTTGGGCCCTTCTTACTTATATACACCTTAATAGGCATTTATTATTTGTATTCCAGTGTTTCTTAAGTCTACATCAGCTGCCTTTGGGGTTGCACATCCATCATTGTATGTCTGCAAGTAGTTCAATGAATGGTCAAATAAGGTGTTGTTACCTCAAGTTCATTCTTTACATCAGCAAAACACTAAATTTAGCACAGCTACTGTGGCGACTTACAGCATCTTACAGTAGTGTAGGCATCTGTAGCAATGTGTAGTGATGCAATTATAGCAACCGTGTAATTCTAACAGCGTGACATAGCACTACACAGTGTGGTACAGCGAGCAACTCGAGTAGTTAGTACTAGCTCTTGACCATGGCTTCTAAGTTTAAACACAGCAATTTTTCAAGCCAGCATTTACAAAAATCAATTCATAGTATATACTACCAGTACTACAGTAGATGGGACATTGATTTGGAACAGTATCCAAGTACTAGTAGCACTGTCAGAATGTTGCCAGAATAGTACTAGTATCACAATGATTCTGACAAGCCCAAGAAACCAGATGCCACCTCAGAATTGAGTGTCTGACCCAGAGTTGCACTTGGAGATCCTATACCTACTGATAGAAAAATGTGTCAGTACTAGAAGCGGTTGGATGAATTTAACAGGGCATAATTACCTGCTAGTGGTATTAGTGGCTAAGTCAAATCTACTTCCAGGCTGAGTGTATTACCATCAATCTGACTAGTAACAGATTTGTGATGGTGTTTTTGAGGTTTGCTAGTGGTAAAGTCCTTGGACAAGGTGATGCCACTTTTGCAGACTGAATGGTATACATAACCAATGTCAATATTGGCATCCTCCAAATTCCTCTCCGCTTCTGTAGCCTTGAACCTGTAGAGTTTACCGAGTGCTACATTCTGCTTGAGAACACAATCCGCAAGTTCCTTCTCTGCCAGGCAAACATTTTGCTGTCCTTGTATCACATTCAATACAAGCTGGGCCTTGAATTCCTTGCTAGTCCGGGTGTCATTGGAGTTAGTAGATTCATGTATAACATTGTCATTTAGATACTAATGTATAGGAGCCGTTGAACTTACATTACCGCTGCCTTCGCAGTCAGAGTTTGGCACCATTGTTACCGGGAATATAGGTGATGGAACTTGGTTCACATTCAACCTACTAGTAGAATGCATGACACTTGGTGTGGTCAAATGACACAATACTGCAGGTGATTGGTTTTGCAGCACACCAATAGCCCTAGGAGTTCCAATTTTCTTCAAGTTATGAAAAACGCCTTGCATACGAGTAGTAGTTGGTATTGGTGGTATGATAGATGTGTGTTGAGTCTGAGAGATGGATGAGGACAGGGTGCAGTGAGTGGTTGATGAGTGCGGTTCAAGTTGGATGGGTGAATTGGATGTGTTGTTCATACCTGGTCCATCATGATCTGTGCTCAGGCTAGAGGCTTCAGAAAAAGGCTCCAGCATTGGTTTTAGTGGGACTACCAGTGTACGTGTTTCGTGAATACTAGCTTGAGTTGGATTGTTGTGGGGCTCATCATGATGCGAGCATCCCTGATTGAATTGGATCCCTCTAAGAGATGAAGCTGTTGCAAGCGAGGCACTGGAGGACATTGTTGTTTAGCTCAATTTTCCTGAGTCACGCTAAGCATGGTCAAACGTGATGTGACAAATTAGTAGTAGTACTTTGTATGCGTATGAATCATGGTACATTCAGTGAGAACCTATCCTAGTACTAGTAGTGTGATGTTTTATGTAGTCCTAGAGGGTAGTCGTACTAATACAAAAACAAATGCAACTTGAACATGAAAGACACTGACTTGCATAATAAGTCTCGCCCAATTGCAAATGAGATCAACTTGACAGAGAACCAAAGAGCAGCAGTGCAACAGAGCAAGCAAAGATGGAACCTGGTACCAGTCGTGAGAGGAAAATTGAGTCGATGAAAGACAGACACTCACCCTCAATGATCGACATGGCAAGGACCTACTTACAACCCTTCCCCTTCCTCTTCCCCTTGCCACCCCCATCCAACTTCTTCTTTGTCTTCACTTTTGCAATAGTAGACCCTTCAGGTCTGTCCTCCGAGTCAGGCTGGACTTTAGACTTCTTTGCAGAGCGCTCCTCCTGCACATCGAGTGATAACTCAGCAGAGGAAGTGGTTGTCGCATCAGATGAGGAAGTTGTCAGAATGGACGAGATCGAAACTGTTGTCGGTTGCATGCTAGTAGACCCTGAGGATTGAATGGTGACATGTGTCATCTTACACTTGTCATATTTGTGGTTGCGCCAATCGAGGTAGTGGCAATATGCTGTAAGGGAGATCACAGAGGAGATAGAGTTGAGAGCTGCCATCCAAACAGGCCTGAAGACGGGATGAGAATCGCGCGCTGCCTGAATTGCAGCCTGCTCAATGCCCATACCCTCCATCAACAACACAATATACGCCTTGAGACTCCCAGTGGTGTCATCTAACATGCACTCAATGTCACCCATCTGCAATATAGAGTGAAGGGTCTGCAGGGGGTAAGTTGAGGTCAGAAAGTAGCACTAATACTGATAAGATGAATATATACATACCCCCTCTGCAAATGTAGCAGCATCCTTGTTATTAAAATCGAAGCAACTGTCTGTGCCATGCTTGAATACGCTGTAGTGGACCTCAGAGATATCAATCCAGGTATGAGATGTGATTTCCACTGGTCCGAACTTCAAACTCTTTTTGATGCGTGCAGGGATAAATTCCTCGTAGTCCAATGGGGAAGCCGAACGAAGTTGGTAAGCGACACTGCCTTCTTTTGGCTGTTGCCATCTAGTTCGTTCCTTGAAGGATATGATGAAAGCGTAGCTGACGTCTGGGTGACCATCGCATGTGATACTCAACTTGCGTACCATGCAGTCTGTGTCTGAGGAAAGCCCGGATTCTCCAACCCATTTCAAAATCAGCTTTGCTATCTCCATCTTGTTGGACCCAGGATTGTCTGGCGGTTGCACTGTGACAATGAGATGTATGTCTGGAATGTTTGTAGAGTCCTTGTTTTGAATACAGTGGTTGAGGTGCATGGTGATGTTGATTAAGAGTCTGTGGTAAGGGATGGCTTCCGTAAAATTGTTGATGGCTTTCGCGAGGTGTGCTGCTGGCTGTTCGTGGACAGGAAGTGGGGTCATGATGTGGAGATCTTGAGTATCTGTGAAGTACATGAATCTGTGGTAAGAGATGGAATGTGGTCAGTGTATGAGTACGACTCAACGATTCATGATCTATTCACTTTGCTCTGACTTCAAACTCTCACTCTTCCGATGTAAACACTACCACCACTGCATACTCTGCAGGTGTGATATTGGCGATGACCTTGAATGATAGTAAATATTAATCTGTAATGAGTTGAGATCGGCCTACAGTTGTGTTGGTTGAGGATGTTGAAGCACTTCAAGGATGACTGCACAGTGATCTTTGCGATGGTGAATGGTCAGAAAGAAGATTGGTGGGTGATAAGCGATCTGAGAAATACTAACCTAAGCTTAAAGAATCTTGATTATCCAAGTCTGTTAAATGAATGTTGAGTCTTGTCCTTATTGCTGTCTTGAGGTCTTCAAGAACTTGCTTGTCTTGTGCTGTGTTTGTTGGAACATGATTGTGCAAGGAAGATGGGATTTTTTGGACTTGTTCTTGTTGTACACATTGAGGAGGGAGAATCAAGTTGTTTGAAGGAATTTTTGGGAGCCAAGTCATTGAACTCTTTGAGAATTTGGAATAAATGGCTGAAAGAGTCATGATTGTGCTGGTGACAGGCATCAAGAGAGAGACTATGTCATGACAACAATCAAGTGGCCTGTCAATGATGTGGAGTAGGCCACCAACAATCATGATGGGGTTTAGTCAGCCGACTCCATGTGCTCAAGGTAGCACTGCACAGTACTATGCAGTGGGTCCTCATGTAGGATAGCATACATATTACAATGTACAGTGCCTCATAGTGACGTATAGTGATGCATAGTGTCATACAGAGAATGCATAAAGCTATTCAAACCATTAATCTCTACTACTAGTATCATCTTCAGCCTAGTACCACTAGTAGTAGTCTGAGGACTTCAATATGATTGAATCATGAGTTTGAGACAGTATAGTAGAAGTCCTTGTTAATGTATTTGTTAATGTATTTGTTCAAGAAGAATGTTTAAGCAAAGTGAGCACTATTTTCAGCAGTAAGATGAGAATCAGCAACACAGCCAAAGCGGGGGATGATGTGAGCCAAAGAATGAAGTTGATATAGTGGGAGGATGTTACCAAAGGGAGTCCCTGCTAATCACATTACATGTTTTAAAACATGCATTTGCATTGTGCATTCCAGTAAGCTGCCATGTCGCTGAGGTATGACATCCAGCCGTTGGACATAAGTAAGAAAATGTGCGGCCCAAGAGGCACTACTAGTACTAGTACTAATTTGTCCTCTGAGTCATGAAGGAAGTGGTTGCATGATAAGGTGCACCTCTACAACAGCATGGCCTGCAAGTTGTGAGTCAGACGTCAAACTCAGACATAATATACAAATGGGCATTTGAAAAGGTACCTTTGAGCCCACTTGCAGGCTATTCTTCATGTCTGGTGTCATCAACAGAAAAAATAGCAGCATCGTAGTGGCCATACTTCCAAGTTGCGCTTGGAGGAGACACGTTGACTGTGAGAGCAGGAGGGATGATCAATGGGCTGTGGTATGATGCCTACTGCACACATACTTTGAACCAGACCATAAGGTCATCAAATGGAAGAGGTGCATTGGGCGGTGCTCGGCGTTGTCCCCCCAGCAAGTGGAATTTCTGAGCTGTAGTACCCTCTTGTTGAATATAGTTGGCAAGCGCTCCCGCAAGTCAGGTAGAGAGAATTTTTCAAAGACGACATTGACTGGTATGTGTTGTATGGAAGGATCAAAATTTAAGTGAATTGCTGTCGCACTAACCACAAATGTGTGGAGGGGTCTGGCTAGTTTGATATTTGAAGAGGCTTGCTCTGCCTTCCTGAAGAAATTGGTCACTACACAATTCAGCCCACAGAGATTATCCCAAACTGCCTGCAAATGTACTTCATCAACGTCCAGATCTTCATTCAAGTCATAATGTTCTGAATCAACATCTATCATTCGAGAAGCAGAAGCTTGTGACTGTGGTTGTGACTGAGCAATTATTGATGTTGTGATCTGAAAGTTTTGACACTTTTCTCGGCGATCAAGAAACCAGCATATTTGAGTATCATAATTGATGTTGTTGGAGGAATCTGCAGGATCCTTGATTAGGGTGATATGGGCATGCTCTGTGGTGTCAGCAGGCCACTGCAAGGGAGAGCCGACTTGACATATACTGGGCACACACTTTGCATCAACTCCAGCTTAGGTATATACCAGTTGTTGAGGACCTGTTTGCTCTGGGCACCTTGACGCGCGCTGCAGGCAATGATATCTTGCTTGTGTTTATGAAATTCCTTGAGGGAATCAAGAATCTTTTGACAGTGTGTTTCATTGATTGTTGTTGCTTGCGATAAGTAGTGAAAGTCCATCAGCGTGCGAACAGCTATGACAACGCCATGGGGGGCTGCATCTGTGATGAGAGCAACAATATAACATTGCATGTCATGCTGGACTCTTCTAGTGACTTGTTTAAGCTTTGAAACACCATCCTTGAAGTGTCGGAATGTCATGAGTGGTTGTAAAATGGAGAAGCAAAAGTCTAGTTCCTGAGAGCCAACAGCTGCAAGACACCACTTTAGATTGTGGTCATAGAACTCATGGTGCCAGTGATGCAGGGGTTCAGGAGTGAAAAACAGATGTGGCTCTGCAAGTGGCCAATCACAACAGAATGGTTGGGCAACACCACTCAGGCAGAAGGTAGTGCATGTGTCAAAATAGACTTCGACATTGAGAGGATCACAAACAATACTTGAAAGCTGGTCAAGAGTCATTTTAGCTGTTTGAGGGGGGTGTTGGAAGGCATCTCCGAAATTTTTGTACATAGCCATAGTTATGGGTAAGGTCTTTCCTCAAAACACATGTGAACATGCATGCCTTGGGTGTATCGACAATGTATGAAGCTAAGGGGGTAAAACAATATCTGAGGTTTCCAAGTGGGTCTGATATCATCCACCTGATGTATGCAGCTTGCTTGAGCGGCTCTAGCACAATATCTAGACATTGGTGGACTAAGCAGGCTTCAAGAACACTCTGCATCCGCTTCATTGGATGCAGAAATTCAGCAATTGGAAGCAGCGCTGTCAGGAGGAAAGCATTTGAGGATGCCTTGTTTTGAGTTACCATCTTAATGTTGGCAAGGCTGATCAGGAGCGGGTGAGCAACACGTCCCCCAGTCATGTTGGTAATGTTGGTCTTATTGGAGGAAAGTATTATGCCTAATAATGTTGTACCATCTGGAAGTTGTGACTAGTATGACAAAGTGAGAGGTTAGCAAGATGAACTTGGAGATCATTGATAGTAAAGTACATACCTGCATTGACCATGCTGCGTCCCCTGTCATCCATTCACTGTAAATTTGTACTGCATGTTCTGCTGTTTCATACACATGTTGAGGAGTGAGATCGATTTCATTGGCAAAGAGCAGGTTACTAAAAAGCAATTCAATGCAATCTAACGGATCATGCCAGTAAAAATGTAGAGGTTGCTTTGTTGGATGAGTTGTTGAGATGATGTGGTACTGCCATTTTGGAACAGAAGGCAGCAGCTCAGCAAGATTATGTAACTCCTTGGCTGTATGAAATGAGAGAGGTAATGCTTTAATCTATGGTGAAATCAGCACTTGGGACAGCAACACACTCCCTGACTCAAGACATACTAGTTCCAGCCCCAGGAACTCATCTGTGGCTGCCATACTTAATGTCGAGCACAGGAAAAAGCTTCCAAGCTCCCAGTTCTGACGGGATGTGAATGGATAGTAAAGGTTTTCTTTGTGATGTACTGCATACAAATCCATATTGAACCTGTCAAGAAAGGTCTGGCTGTGCCGATATACCTTTGCGGTGCCCTTGAAGCACTCGACATAAGGTTTCTCTGAAGTTTGGCTGCCATGAGGCTCTTTAACTGACCCCGGCGGGTCATTCGCCAAGCCCACCATGCCTCTCTCATCGCCATAGAAATCTTGAAAAGGGCTTGGTGTTCTGGAATGACGAGGGTCGGATGACGACTCAGATGAGTTGAGAGTTGTGTGCTGGTCTGCCAACTGTGAGTCTTGCAAAATTTGTGCTGTGCTCTCAAGCTGCTCAATCCATCATAGGCAGGAGGTAAGGGGCTGACTCAGGTGTCATGAAACAGCCCGAGCACTCTTGAATTGTTTCAAACAATTAGAGCAGTCAGCTGTCATTGAGTTGGGATGGAGTAGTACATAGGCTAGTAGTAGCTACCACTACCAGTGCATATAGCCTGCCAGTGATAAGCCAATGTAGTGTATGTAATTACTTAGTAATTAAACACCATGATCACTGATACTAGTACAGCCACACACCATGACACTCAATTTGAAGGTTTGATTCCCTCCGTTATCCACTTAGTCATGTGCTACTATGGGCCAACAGAAAAAGCAATGAGTCGGGGTCACAAAGGTTCAAGTTGTTGAATCAGACATCGACAATGATGAACCAGTAACACCGGTCCAACCTCCCTATCACCGTACAAACCGACCTGGTGCTGGCGCTGGGGGAAGGAATTCTCAGCTAGAGAAGATAGGAAACACTATCCAGACCCCAGCCAGAGCACCTGGCAAATCAAAGATCCAGAATGTCATTGTCCCTTTGGATGAACCCGAAAATATGATGGCTCCACTGGTGACAAAGAAGGGAAGAGGAAAAGTGGTGCCTCAGCAGCTTGAGAGGAACTTGAGTGTAATGGTAAGTACGCACTTGGTCAATGTTCATTTCTGAACTGTATCATCACAGTACCATCCTTGACTAGTATCTCAGTACTAATGTTAGGTATTCAGCAGGAGACATCTAAGTCAGGCCCCACCGCCACAGGTCCCATACCTTCTCTACATGTGACAGACCAAGGAAGGTTTGGATTACAAGATTGTCCAATTCCCTCAACATATGTTGGGTCCAAACCACTCCAGTCCCATCAAACGGATCCTTAGTCTGACTTGACGATATCTCCAGCCTAGCTTGATGTCCATGATCGCGCTGGTACCTCTTAGGGAGCTTCTTGTGGTGGTTCTTGTGGTGGTTCTTGTGGTATTTCTCATGGTGTTTCTCGCAGCATCTCTCAAGACGCCCCTCTTCATGACTCTCAGGCTGATGGAATCAGAATTCCGGCTGTTGGTACTCACACTGTTTCTCATGCTATTCCTCAGTCTGTCAGTGCTTGTATCGTCTCTCATGCTGTTTCTCAGTCTGTCAGCAACCAACTCTTGGGTTCATCTATTCCCATTGTCAACTCTGCCGTTTAGCAGGCGCCATCAATGATCATAACACCCCCTCGCACCATTTCTCATACTCCTGCTTTCAGTTCTTCCACTAGCCAATACATGTCTGTTGATGGAGCTGAAGAAGGTAACAAAGAGGTTGATAAAGAAGTAGACTTTGATGAGGATGACATTTATAATGAGGGTGGATATTTTACAGAAGACGATGGCACTGATAACAATATGGAATATGAGGAGGGTTTTCATGGGAGTGATGACATCATGCACCCGTCAGATCGCAATAATTAAACTTACTCTGGCAACAACCAAGTCAGACAGTTTGCACAAGCACCTGATCGAGGTGCATATTCGCAGGATGAGGACTTTGATGATGCAGGAGTGGCTGGCATGGACCTTGATCATTGGAATGATTGCACTGCTGGTAGGCGGGGTACTCAAGACCAGCACATCGACATAGCTCAGGTGCCAAAGCAAATGAGCCTACAGCACATTGACAAATGAGCTTGGAGTCGTTAAAACATCATAGTAGTTGTAAGTGCTCACCCATTTTGTCACTGTGTATTGACACCGTTTTCAGCCTAATATGGATTATGATGTCCTCGAGGTTCACCACACAAAGAATCATTGGCCATGTTCTCCGTCCTCTTCATATTTGAAAAGCATATAGAATCACCGCCTGAAGACTAAGTGTGCTTGCACAAGCCACTCCCTGTCAAGTGATGGCTCTGATGACCAGCACTTAGAAGATCTTGAGATTGAGAATACTGGGAAGCGCTGCCACCGCACCAAGAAAGTGAAGGGTACTGCTACTAATTGTGATGCAACTAATGTTGGCTTCTACCCGCCACTCTGGCAAAAGCTTCTTGACCATGCAAAGGCTAATTTCAGACTTCATCTCGCTGTTTCAGTCCCGTTTCACGACAAAGAGGAGTCCATTGGTAATACCGGAGTTTGTGGTGAATGTTACAATAACATTTACTCCTATTTTATTTTTCTCCTTTGTAACCATAGCGCCGACTCTAGACTCATCTAGACTCGGCTATTCTCTTATCAAGCGGGCTGTCTGCACTTCTCTTCTTCTTGATTGTAACATAGATACTATCTTGCGCCGCATGGCGGTTTCACCTATCTTTGCTATCTTGATAGGTTGTACTATTTTTCCTATCTCTGTTACCTTTCTTGATGCGGCTGCGCCGCTTCCCTTTACCTATATAAACCCCATGTACCATAGTTGTATTCCTTAACTTAATCTACTGGGTTTTCCCCTTGAAACCTGATCTACAAGGTCTCCACCCTTGTAGCCTGATACCTGATTCTAAGACAGTCACTCACTGTCTTAGCCTGAACTCTTGACTGCGGTAGAAGTGCTAAAACCACTCGCCACTGATCCTACATAGAAGCTGCAGCGCTCGTGTAGTGAGAACCCTTGAACCAGAAACCTTCCTTGTACTAGGAAGGCCGACGAACTGTCAACTCGACTGGTCTATCTTTGACCTTTGACAGAAGAACTATCCCAGTCGTAACAAAAGATTAAGTTCCTCATCCAGTACTTGTTTTCCAACAGTACTTCACCACCATTGATTCAATAACCGCGAACATCCTTGCTGCCGCATTTGGAAACATGTCGGGACCAACTGCATCATCCAGTGCAGCATCCAGCGCAGCTATTGCCGCCATGAACAAACCAATTGAAATCAAGATCGGAACACCACCGGTCTTTGACGGGAACGAGAAAACTGCCAAGAGTTTCCTACTCGCGGTCTCCGCCTACCTTGATATCAACAGTGAAATCTATAACACTGATAAGAAATGCATTATCTTTGCCACTTCCTTCATGAATGAAAAAGCGGCACTCTCATGGAAGGAGGACTTCCTCACTCTGGCCCAAGACACTACCAGAGTAGACAAGAACAAGAACCCTATCGGGTATGGAACGTGGGAAGAATTCAAGAAAGCTTTCCTCAAAGCCTTCACCACGGGAGAAGCTTCAACAGAAGCATGGATCAAGCTGAGGTCCTTCAAACAAGAAGGATCCCTAGAAGAATACATCACAGAGATCAAGCATCTCTTCCAGCTTACCGGATTGACTGAAGAAGGCTCCAAAGTACACTTCTTCACCACCGGATTGAAATTTGGTATTGCCAATGCTATCTACAGAGCAGGCAATGTCTTGAAAGACCTTGAAGGCATGATCCAATCTGCAAGAGAGATGGACAACACCTACCAGCAGATCTTGGCGCTAAGGCCCAAGAACCAGAACCAGAACCAGAGGAAGAAAAACAGGTTAGGACCGGAAAGGTACCAACCTAAAGGAGACAGAGACGCCATGGAGGTTGACTGCCTCTCAGAAAAAGAGAGGTCCGAACATATGAGAGCTGGCAAATGCTTCATATGCCACCAGGCTGGCCACAGAGCCAATGATAGGGAATTCCACCCTAGAGAGAAGAAGCCGGTCAGAGAGACCAAGCACAAAGAAGAATCAGACGATGAACCTATGGACACCCATAGGATGACAAAGAAAAAGGATTTTTAGAATGGAGGTCTGTATCGACACCAGTCCCTCCCATTCCAGTTCGCACTGTACATCGTGTTGGAAATAAAGAAGAGTTACATGTCCCTGCCACTCTCATCCCAATTAAACGTGCACTGTCCTGCATGATGTGGGAATCATGCATGGACATGAATACTAGGTGACCCTCAAAAGATAAAGTCTGTTAGCTTAGTCCTCAGACTAGTCAACCCATACCTTGGTTTCAAACCATGGGTCCATATTTCCAGTTTTCCCCAAGTTTCATGATCTGAATACGTTTTGATGGAAAAAGTCTAATGTGAGATGGGAATCACATTTAGACCTAGTTGATGTGAGAAGGGAAATGAAGGTTAAGGTATAGCCTTGCCTTTGGCTTATTCACTTTGGCTAGAGAAAACCATAGAGAAAAGTACAAAGCCAATAAAAAACCTATCCAAAAAGACCGTGTTTCAATTCCTGCCAACTGCATTATTTTTTTGACTGTGTTTCAATTCCTGCCAACTGTCTTATTTTTGCTACCTACTTTTCTCTAGTGTTTCTTTACTTTACTTTTTCATTAGGATGCTTTGACTCACCTGACACTTCATAAAAATTGTACCCATAGGGTATGATGTCATTATGATGTCATAAGACTCCACAGATACTCCTGCAGGTATTCTGTTGAAAGATATTATGTCATCAAGCTCTAGATTATTCTACTCTACAATGACATCATTCATGATGTCATTTCCTTCTAGAATATTCTGCTCCACAATGACTCACTCTGACTCACTCATGGAAGGTTCTGGAATCTTTTGCTCCACAATGATGTCACTCTTGATGTCATTATGATGTCATTACTCCACATTCCAGAATGTTCTGCTCCACAATGATGTCATAGCTCCATCTTTCACTTGTATTTTATTCTTTTATTGGGTTTGACCCAATATTTTGATTGGTCCTCCTTATTTTTTATTGTTTGTGAACCTAGGTTACTTTCCCACACAAAATGTATATAAGGAGAGCCCATTCTCCCCCCAAAAAAATATGATCTCCCATTTGTAGCAATCTGCCTCTCAGATATTTCACTTGCAAAGTTAGTCCCTTTGAAGTGAGACAAGTGCAGGGAAAAGAATTCCCTTGAGATTATAAGTTTCTTACCTTAGAAACTTATTAGTGCTATAGACCAAGCGTTCTTGGTCATATATATTGTCTTTGAGACCCCTTTGTCTCATTGCTCTGTGCCCTTTGACTAAGCGATCTTAGTCATCTATCATATTGTTGAGACCACGTCTCACTAGTTGTCCCATAGACCAAGCGATCTTGGTCAAGTTATAGTCCCCTTTGTTCAAGCGATCTTGAACATATATCGTATATTTGAGACCATTGTCTCACAGTCAGGTGTCCATAGACCAAGCGATCTTGGTCATATTTCATATATTTGAGACCACGTCTCACTAGTTCCAGTATCCAAGTCCAGAGCCTAGAAGGAGATTTCCTAGGCAAATACATTCCAGAAACCGAATTACGTGTCTAGAAGCTTATTCCTAGACAAGAGATTTGAGTTTCAATAAAGAAAAGTAAAGCTCCGGCTAGGTTGATCTTTATAAAAAGATTAGTTTAGCGAGCCTCCCAAGAACTCACACGTTATCTACCACGAAATAGGAAAAGTCGTAGACCGTGTTAATCGAGGACTGGCAAGCAGTCTTATCCAAAGTGTAATTGTGGTGTCATTACATTTACACGACTTTATATAAGACCCTCGGTTATTAAGACATCACTGGAGCCCAACCGCGAGGGAGGCTTCTTTTTGATTTCTTATTGAAATTCACCCGTATCCATTGTATTATTCCCATCCAACTATTCATTTCACACACACAAAGCAACCATATCATCCATATCAATTATCCCAAAGTCTAGCATAGTACCTCAGCCTACTATGTCACCATCTACCATTCCTACTATGGCACTGTCCATACTTACTATGCCTATCCCAGGTAGTAAGGCCGCACCCAAAAAGTTTAAAGGAGACTTCACTGAAGTCAAAAAGTTTATCAAGCATTACGAAAAGTTATGTGACTATAACCAAGTCACCGCTGACAAGGACAGATGTGAAACTATTAGTCAATATACTTCACGTCATGTCACCGAGTTCATTGAAGGATTGGACTCATATGAAAATTCAGATTGGAATGCACTCAAGGCAGACATTCTGAAATATTATGATGCAGATTTGGACACGAAGCGTTATAAGAGACAAGACTTAGTTTCATATGTCAAAGCTATGAGGGGACAGCGTATTCCTACTCTAGCTGCATGGAAGAAATATGTACGAGGATTTATTAGGATTGCAGGTTGGCTTCAATCTGCAAAGAAGATTACAAAAGATGAGTATGCAGGCTATTTTTGGAAGGGAATTTATAAGAGTTTACGTGCAAAGATTGAAAGTAGACTCATGGCTAAGGATCCTGACAAGGATTTGTCTAAGGCATTTGCCGTAGATAAGGTTATCTCAGCTGCAGAAAAGCTACTTCATAGGGATCGGTTCGATTCAGACTTGCTTATCTCCGAGGAAAAGAATAATTTCTCATCTTCGGACTCTGAGGACTCTGACTCAACTGAATCATCCTTGACTTCAAGCGAGGAGTCATCTGATTCAGAAGAAGAGGAAGAGATTAAACCTCGCAAGTCTACACGAAAAGGTTCGAAGAAGCATTATGTGGCTAAGGAAACTCCTAGACATAAGGACAGACATTCTGGCACAGTAACACCTATGGAT